TTTAGGCATAGGACTTGCTTGAGAATTTGATTATGAAAATAAATAGAGTTGGACTCTAGGATGACATGGAGATGTAGTTTGGGCCGAGCCCATGCCATGTAATATGATTAGCATGGAAACGTAGTTGGGCCGAGCCCTTGCCATGTATATGTGACCTCCGTGGAAACGTAGTTGGGCCGAGCCCTTGCCACGAAGTTATGGTTGGTATGGAAACGTAGTTGGGCCGAGCCCTTGCCATACAAATGTTGATATGATACATCGAGTTAGAGGATTGTATAGAGATGTAGTTGGGCCGAGCCCATGCTATATAATTGGGGCTCGATGGGACCCCACGGGGTTATCGTGACTCGCGGTCACGGGGGAATGGGAACGGTGAATTCTAAATGAATATGGGCCTACGGGCCGTCTACTTGACTTTATGTAAAGTAAGTACAGTTAGAGGTAAAAAGGGGTAACCGAGGGTTATGGCCTATAATATAATAGTACCCTAAGACGGGGGTCTTGGAAATTAAAACGTTGATTATACTTAGTATAGTTGCTATTGTACTTGTCAAATATTTCCAAGTACTGACCTCCCCTTCACGGGGGAGGCCACCTCACAGTTTCAGGTAGGACTTGAAGGTTGCTACCGACGCCCGTTGCTTCAGGGATTTCCAAGGGAGAAGACGTGGTTCGTGCTTCTTCTGTTTCCTGTTTTCAAAACAATTATAACAATGCTCATGGATACTATTTTTGAATAACTATTTGGGGGCTTGTATGCCCATGTTTGCCAAAGTGTGGCTAAGACATCTTTATTAAATGCTTCCGCTGTTTTAAATGAATGATTTACATTATGCTTTTTTATAGATGTACTATGTGTGAATGGTATTCAAGACGCCTTGTATAGTATGGATGAGTTGGACTGCGGTTGACTATTCGTACTGTACGGCGGGTTGTTGACGTGTCCGGGTAGGTCCGGGGCGTGACACATACACTAAAATCACGTATCACATAATACATATATAATACGAGGAAATGATTTTGGATTGGCAGAGAAACTTACCTTATGTCCCGATGCTCCTAGTTCTTCTTCTAACCCGATCTCTAGATCACCTTTTTAATTAAGATGATATAATTAGTCACTTATTCTATTTCGATAATTTATCCAATTTTCCCCCTTTTTTTTATTCGAACTTATTAATATAACTAATTATTTAAAATTTTCCAATAATTATTAATCAATCACCTTTATTAGTTTCCACTTTATTTTAATCCAAAATTAATCAAATTCATCCGTTTTCATTAATTAAGTGGATCCATTACTTTTTCTAAAGTAAATAAAATAAATCTAGCAAATCCAACTTGCACGTATGTTGTTAATCGGCCTAGTCCAAACATTAAAAGAAACTCAGCCCAATCTTAAATAAAAGAAGAGGAGCAGAGGTACGAGTGTACGACTTACGGACATCGTCTTCTTCGTCGATCAAACTCAGCGGCGTACTCACAAAGTTGGCAAAAGATGGAGATGACCCAGCAGCGACCTTTTCCGGCCACTACGCTACTCCTCTTCTCCATAGAACTCCTGGAGGCTTCCTTCTTCCCCAGCGACGACGGCAATCCGTGTAGCACTCGCTCCAGCGTAAAGCGTATCAGTCCGGCGAACCTCCTATTGTACTCCGGCGATGATGACGGCACTCATGGCGGTTGGGGTGAGTGAAGGGGGCGGACTCGTCACCCCTCCTCCATAGGGAACACGTACAAAAGTCTTCCTCCGATGTTTGTGAGTTCCGGCAGTCCAGCGGCCACTCCGGCAGATGATATCTCCGTCGTCCGTCGACCGTTTTTAATGATTCTTGATTCGTTGGATTCCTCTAACGAAGGGAAAAGTTTTTAGGAGCATTTAAGCTCTGGTTTTTGGCTAAAACAAAAGGGTCGAAAATAGGTGTATATATACGTATATATATGCGTATATATAGGTAACATCACTGCTTGTTTTTGAAAGAAAATAAACGCAGGCGGAGGACGATATTTATACTGATAATTAGGGTTCTAGGGTGCGTTAGAGTTGGAGTTTATCCGATCAGTTTCATCTGCATCTACGTTGTTATCTCCAACATAACTTGGCCGGTAGGGAGTCTATTCGCGTACGATGCTTGTTGGCCGGCTGGGAGTTTGAAATTTATGAACATTGCTTCTTTTGTAGTCTAGGTTCATACTATGCTATGTACGTACAACAGTAGTTTGAATAGCTGAAGCATTTTATATTATTATTATTATTATTATTATTATTATTATTATTATTATTATTATTATTATTATTATTATTATTATTATTATTATATACGGAGTACTAATTATAAATTTAGAAGTACGTAGGAGTTCGTAGAAGTATGGAAATATTTGTACACCAGTTAAAATAACTTTTATCACGTATGTGTCATGTGTATAACTGCTACTTGATATAAAACATTATTTCTATTATCGGGTCATTTTTATCAGACTAAATGTGTCACAGGTGTTAAATTTTTGTCTGGTTTGGCTTATTTAATGAAATGTTGTTTCTATTATTAAAATATTTTTATCAGACTAAAACGTCGTAAATTTTGAAATTTTATCTGATTAGAAAGGCACGACTGTTGATTTTTTGTTTAACTCACTTAATAGTTAAAATGTCATTTCCGTAACATTTTATCTCACTAAAACAATTATTTTTATTTTTATTTAAATTTTCGGAGTGTCACATATGTAATTATCATATTTGATTTAAATCTCTCATTCTTGACCTTCTCACTGCCACGGAAAAGGCCCAGATCCGTGGCTGACCGACCACGCCGATTACAAGGATCGGAAGATTTCAGGGCTATTTCTTATCCACCCATTTTTTGGAGGAAAGGAGGAGGACCAGCCGTATAAGTTGCTCTGCCCGGAAAGCAGCGGCGTCGACGACGATCCACGGATGAATCCGGCGGTGGATTCGAGGCTGGCGCAAATGGCATGCAAGAAGGTGCTGCTTCACCGGCGAATCCATTAAGAAATCGGTCAGAAATTGATATGCAGACGCAGAGACGGATTTCAATTGAAAGAAAAAAAGTAAGACCGAGCAACCAAATGGAGTTTGATCTTTGTAAGGAATATTTTATGGTGTCCAATCTAATTAAATATCTTTGTATTTGTGTAGTTATTAATTGAATGTGTAATACGGGACACAAATGTGATGGTCCCAGATAGGGTAAAAGTCTAGAGGGGGAGGGGTGAATAGACTTTTAAATCTTTTTCAATTTTAAAGCGTTTCTCCCTCTAAAGAATTGATCTATAATCTTTTGAAAGAATTATAGACGCACAACGGAAGTCTTTACCCTTTATGGAATCAGTGTATAAAAACTTTCTATCTTGATGGAAGATTGAACCCAAATGTCTGGCAGTTGGCTTGGCAGTTGACTAGATAGCAGGGAACTGCTAAAGCAACTGCTGAGAAAATATTGGGTGTTTGATGAAAGTGATAATGAAATGTTGCTGAGAATAATGAGGGCTTTCAGAAAATGTGCTTTAGTAAAAGTAATCAGGAGCTTTACTGAAGCAGTGGTCTCAGCAGTTGAGTGGTAATGAGGGCACTGCTGAGGTGCCTGCTTGGTTTAGAAGGTGAATTTCAGAGAGCAGTTTGGTCAACCTCCTTGTTGGTGATGATATGAAGGTCTGGTGATATTGAGATGTTCAAGAGAAACAAGTGTATATGAGCAGAGGGCTCAGCAGTTGGGTGGACACCAGGGGACTGCTGAGGCACCTGCTATGAGTTTCTGGGAAATGATAGAATAGGCCTTTTGGTGATATTGATGCACTTCTCTTGTATGAAAATGATCTCAAAGAAAGTAAGTAATTAAGCAGTAGGATAAGCAGTTGAGTCAGTTAAGACAACTGCTTAGGATTCTGCTGGCAAACTTCAATCTTTTTGTAAGAAGTGCTAAGTGTGTGCTTTGTTGAATGGATGTAAATCAACACACAGTATATCCTGGTTCAGAGGTGGTATAATCCTCCTACGTCCAGTCCCACCCTCTTTCAGATGGATTTCACTAAAGTATTAAGCCCAATACACTTAGTGCAAATCTAGCCTTTACAACACTTAGGCCTAGATTGAAGGTTTTTCACGATGAGTATAGAACCAGTCAAAGTTACTCAGTCTTTATACTTTTCTCTAATGAACCGGTGGGGATCAAAAGGTACTCTATCTATCTACTCACACTTTAGGATCTGAACAACTGTTCTCCTAAGTGTTTACAACAATTTGTGAAATGTTACAAGAAAGTTTCTAACCTCCAACTAGGAACTAAACTTCTATGATTTAGCAATGAATAGCTTGTAAACTGGAAGTTTAGTGAAACATGAGTCCAAGCAGAGAGTAAAGTTTAGAATAGCACTTTCTCTTTTGCTAGATAGCTCGTGAATGCTCGTGAAAGAATTTCTCTACTTTGGATGCTCAAAGCTTGGTTAGAAACTTTCGTTTCAGCGTATATTTATAGGGTACTCCAGTTGATTAATCTCATCCGTTGGTTAGGATGGATTGATCTTGTTCATTGAAAATTGACAAGGACGACTTGTATATTTGTCTTCTTGTACTGGAGTTGATTTCCCGGTAATTTCCTTGTCTTGCATTATTCAGCCGCCCAAACTTCACTTCAGGAGTTAGTCCCATGTGTGCGTACACTGCTTCGGACCCCAGTACATTTTTGGCATTAAATACCGGTCATATTTTGTCTTCAATCATATACATTCAATGTATATCCTATTAAGGTAAATAAAAATTACCTTATTGCATTTTAATTTTTCCGGTAATATTCAAATTGACTCAAAAATTGTACATTTTATTTTGTCACATAATTTTGAATGCTAACACACGAACAATATTGAGATACAATGTACGCGTGCTAAGTATAGTGGCATCATCAAAATCTATCAAAATTGGGTACTAACAATTTCCCCCTTTTTGATGATGCCAAAACTATACAACACAAGAACAAAATATTTTGATTGATTTTTCATTTGAGTTTTGTAAATTGTTCTAGCTTCTAAGGTACAATAGTTTATAGTCAATTTCGGACTTCTGATCTATCCTAGTCTTGTTTGTCTTCTTGTGATTTCTTCTTGGCTTCCTTCCTTGCCTTTGCTTCTTCTGCCTTTCTTCTTCTGATCTCAGCTTCTTCTTTGAGTCTCTTGTTCTTTCTCCTTGTCTCTGCCCCCTTTATGGCTGCCAGTGACCAGCTGGAGGATGAGCCTGCTTGTGTTGCTCTTCCCCCTTTTTTGGCATCAACAGGGGTCTGGCTTTCTTGAAACAGGGCCGCTATTTCTGGATTAGAGTCAACCTCTATTTGCTGGATTCTCCTTGTTGGATGGAGATCGTTGAATTCAATGGCGAGTGCAGTGACTATGTTCCGGAGATCCGTTACATCTACCTTGACCTCTTCTTTGATTTCTTGGTCAAGTTTGTGAAGCTGTTGAGTTGTTGCTTGTTGGTGTAGGCCTAGTGTCTTGAGTTCATCTCCTTGCTTTAGGAGAGCTTCTTGAGTAGCTGTGTGAAGTCGTCCTAGATGATCAGCAACATCTGCTCTAGTTTTGCCTATTGCCTCTGAGTGATCCATTTGTTTGGTGACCAACTTCTTGAAGAGATTGAGGATGGTGGGTAGCTCCTTGGTTTTGAGATAGTGTAGGAACTTCTCATGCACCTGGATAGTTTGAAGGGCCTGCTCAAGGTTAGTTGGTAAGGTAGATCAGAGTTGGAAAGTACCTGGGCAGAGGGTTCTGCTTGGGCAGAGGGCTCTGTTGCAACTTGTGGTTGCTGGACTGCCTGAAGCTGACTTTTGAGCTCTACACATAGAGCTTGAAGTTCCTGAAGGCCCTTCTGAACTGCTTCTGACTGTCCTTGCTGAGTGTTGATGTAGGCTTCATGTTCATTGATTTGTTGGAGAGCCTTCTCGATGTTGGGTGGCAGAGAATGTAGAGATGCTCCTGTTTGCTCTTGATCATGCAGTTGCTTTAAGAGAGTCTGAATTTGAAGTTCAAGTTCCCAGTCCTTAGCTCTTTGAGCTGCTAGTTCCTTGTGGATGTCTTCTAGCTGGGCAGGCTGCTGGGAAAATTGCATTTTGAGCTGGGCCTTTTGTTCTGAATTGAATACCTGCTGGATCATGAGGTTTCTTTTGATGTGGCAGTGAACTTCTGCAAATCTGGCTTCCAGAAGTTTGTCAAAATGATTTTACATTTTGATCAATCGCTTGTGAAGTCTCAGTTCGGCATTGCTGACAAATTTTATTGTTGCTCTACGTTCATTGATGAAGACTTCTGCTAGAGTCGGTGTGTCCTCAGCTCCATCAGTGAGAATTTGATTTTTGACGTGTTCTGAAGTTGTAGCTTGGTGTTTTGGGATCTCTTCTTGGTGAGGCTCCATGTTGAGGTCCATCAGTTGGGTCCCTTGTGGGAGAGTAGCAGCCAACTGCTCTTGGGGAGCTTTGGAGGATTCTCCTCCTCTTTGAGTTTCCAGCCTGGATTTTTCCATAACCCTCCTAGTTTCTTTGTCACTAGAGGAGGAGGAGTAAACAATTTGTTTACCTCTGGAGCTTGGTGGACCCTTAGGTGCATTGTCAGCGTCATCATCATCCAGATCATCATCACTGGAGTCCTCAATGGTGTCCTTTGCAGTTAGCTCCTTCCTTTTTGCTGTGTAGACCTGGTAGATCTTGTAGAGAGTGGTTGCTACAGCCAGATCCTCTGTGCCAATCCATTTTAGAGCAAACTCTTCTTCAATGATGAAATATGGAAGGGTCTCTGCTTGATCTCTGATTTTTGTTAACTTCCACTTTCTCCACTGCTTGACTCTGGCGAAATCTGCCTCTAGTTGCTCTAGTGGAGTCATTCTGGGTGAGTCCACTGCTGGGGATGGAGGAGCCTGATCGTTGAAGGGAGCCACCTGCTCCGTTTGTTGAGTCCCTTGCTTCTCTAGGTGAGCCGCCTGCTCTGGTTCTTGGGGAGCCACCTGTGTCACGCCCCAGACCGTGTCTGTGCCACGTAGACAACCGTCGTACAACCCAATAAGAATAACCGCAGTTCATCCTTACCAAATTGCACAAGACGTCCGATAGATACATATGCCAAAACCGATTAGTAAACATACATAATAACATCAACATACAACTAAACACATAGCGGAATATAAGTGTTTAATAAGAACCCACACGAGGGTAAAACAAGAGCTCGCAGGCTCCATTAATTTATAAGTCAAAAATAGTTCCATGAGCATTATTTAATTATTTAGAAATAGAACAAGAGGAAGCACGAATCACGTCTTCTCTCCATCGATCTCCCGAACAATGGGTGTAGGAAGTAAGCTCCAGCTTCAACCTGAAAGGGTGGTTCCCCCGAGGGATCAGTACTACAGAAAAGTACTGGTGAGGGCAAACTGTATGTAATATAACTAACGTTTCTCAAATGGGACACTCAACATATGGTGATAGTATACGTATAGGCATAACTCTTGACTACCCCTTTTCAAAACATATCGTATACGCATATACATATGAGTAAAATATCTGGCCCGTGGGCCCATTTGTATTTCAAATCATTTAGGCGTAACAGCCTCGTTAAATTCACCCTTCCCATGTCTTGCCCTCGAGTGAAGTCACCCGCAGGCTAACTCACCCGATAACAAAGATAATTATTTCGGGGGCCCTTCGGGCTCCCATATCACAGTCATGATTTAAATTAAATTCCTAGACCAAGGAAAATACCATATCGGGAACCCATTCGCGATCACGCATGTTTAATCATCTAAAATCATTACTTGAGGTTCACCTACCTCAGGGACTATTCGTCCTTACAATCATAGTTTACATTCTCGGGGCTAACCCCGCCTTGAGGAGTATGCATACACCCTTATCCTATGTGTAATTTGCTGGAGGTTAACACACCTCAAGGACTACACGGGCCCTTGTTACCTATATGCATTTTGATGGAGTTTAACACACCTCAAGGACTGCACTTGTCCTTGTTACCTATGTGTAATTTGCTGGAGGTTAACACACCTCAAGGACTACACGGGCCCGTGTTACCTATATGCAATTTGATGGAGGTTAACACACCTCAAGGACTGCATTTGCCCTTGTTACCTATGTGTAATTTGCTGGAGGTTAACACACCTCAAGGACTACACAGGCCCTTGTTATGTATATGCAATTTGATGGAGGTTAACACACCTCAAGGACTGCATTTGCCCTTGTTACCTATGTGTAATTTGCTGGAGGTTAACACACCTTAAGGACTACACGGGCCCTTGTTAACATTTGAGTATAAAGGACTCATCCTGGTCCTACAGAGTTTTACCTGACCTTACTCGGTCCTGAGTATTCACCCGTCATGTATAATCTACCACTTACCTCGCCCAGTCGTGGTCTATAATTTCTTTACTAACGACTAGTCCAAGTCTTAGCGTTTAAACCATATTCGAAGCCTTAGCAACCAACGTGGACGGGTCCCACTCGAACGGCCCATGTAAACTTACTCAAAAACTGCATATTGGGTGTAAAACCCAATACCTGGTCGGGTATTACCCATACCCGGTCGGGTAGGGTGAGCCAGTAGCCCCTGGGACTGTTTTTAACTAATACCCGGTCGGGTCTATACCCATACCCGGTCGGGTCTAGTGTGGCAGTGGCTCCTGGAACCATTTTTAACCAATACCCGGTCGGGTATTTACCAATACCCGGTCGGGTATTACTTTTGTCTTGGCGGTCAACGCCTGTTTGACCGCCCAAACGAAGTCCGATTAACGTGAAATTTTATACACATGTACTTCTTGACGTCCGTAATCCAAAAATGCCCTTTTGGGTCCTTGGAACATCATACATAATTAATTATCACATTTTTAATCATCAAGCTTACTCAACATGCTTTTCAACTATATTTTTCATATAATCATGGAATAACACATACTTGATTATCTTTAATCATTCCATAAAATATATTCTTGATTACTTTAAGTAATCTCATGTCTCACTCAAAAGTTATAAAGCATAAAGCCGTCTTCACACAATTATTAATAAGTACTTAATACTTATTAATCGTTTATATATTTCGTTCTAGTTTATTCTTCATAACTAGATTTAATTTAATGACATGTATGATTAAGTACTTGAATCCTTCAAGAATACCATCTTGAATTACCTTAGTTAATGTCCAACTAAATCATTCATGATTATCCTTCATCAAAAATATTAATAATTCTTTTACTCATTAATCATGCCATTTTCACATAACTTATAATCAATATAGCTAATCACATGTTTAAACACATTTAAACATTTCTATACATATTCACATACTAGATTACTCTAGTTATCTCATACATAGTCCATGTATGCATTTTCATACATTTGACAATAATATATTCATGATTAATCCACAAATAAATCTCTTATTCATTAATCATGTAATATTTCCATAATTCATATTCACCATGACTAATCATGCATTTTAATCCATTTAATCATTTCTCAAATCATGATAAGGATTTTATTTAGGTAATCCCACGTTTGATCCAAGAGTTACAAGACATGTAGTCGTCCACTCACCTTGAAATGACGTTAGCGAGCTTTTATCCTCCTCATTTGAACATCGGCGACCTTTTGGAATTTTCCGGCAAAAACTCCAGCGGCTCCGGCAACTTTTCTGGCCACTCCTAGATTCTTTGAGAAGTCTAGAATACCTTGGTAAAATTCCTAACAAGGTTTCATAAATAAAAAGTGGTATAAACATCAAAACCTTCCGAGAAGGTATTTTCCGGCGAGCCGGTCTTACTCCGGTCATAACTCCGTTCATGGTTAAAACTATCCTTCCAAACCCTCATTCTACACCTCTAGGAGTGTAGAACAAGCTTATCGGTCTATCATATGATTTATAAAATCATATGAGATTAAATGAAGGAAGGAAAAATACTAATGAGACCATTACCTTAATTAATAAAGGTTTTCTTCACTTTCTCCACTCTTTCTTCTTCCTTGGACTTCCTTCTTGATTGAGCTCACTCATTGGCTATGGAGAAGGTAAGTTGCTGAGCTTTTCTCTCTTTTTTGGTTGCTTTGGCCGAGTGAGTGATTGAGGGGAGAGAGAGATGTCTTTTGACTCATTCCACCAATGATAATAAAGAAAATGGTCCACAATTGTCTCTCATTGATGCCTATCACTTCAAGCCAACTCCCTACCTCATTCCTCCAATTATACAGTCATCCCCTTGTCTGGTTGATTGCATAATTATAATTACGTGGGGTGGCCCCCACTCATGTGGGAGTTCATCCCAATATGCTCCAAAGTGTACATTCGACTCCGAAAGTTGTATTTTTCGTGCTGTTTTAATTAAATTTTATTTTATCGGGCCAAATAAAATATATATCATTCTTCTAATGAATATTGGCCCCTAGAATGAATATATATTATCCAAATTTAATTCTGTGGTTCTCAGAACATATTTCGGGTTGTTGTCTGTTAAATAACTACTACTAGTAATGGGACTTCGTTTGCTCAATAGGCCAACTCTAGGGCTCAACATTAATTTACACCATCATGTAAATATCATCTAGAGCAAGATGAATATAATATGTGGTCCCGAAAATATCGGTTGGTCCCCGCTCTCGGTGCGGGCCCAATGTGCATTTTACTGTTAAAATAACAGTAAAAATGGGAACGTGTTGTTTCGTAATTTCATTCGTCATTTCTCATGACTCAATATGTGGTTTCATATTTTTTGACACTTTAATAAAATGATACACTTCTTTTTAAGTGGTCCAAAATGTATGAACAGATAAAATCTTATCTGTTTGTTCCCAAACCAAAATATCTTTAAGGTAGGGTCCTCCAAAAGTACCCTCCTTTAATGTACCAAATTAATCATATATATATCAACCAATTGTTTTGGATTCTTAAAATATTTATATTTCTTCTGTCATTAACTAGATTCTCACCCGTGCGATGCACGGATGAAAATTTACCAATTTGTGATTAAGAAGTGTATTATAAAAACGCAATAAAAATTGAACACAAAATAAAGTGGCAAGTAATATAATAAATGTTCGCAGTTAAAGAGAAATTCTAACATCATCGAAGAAGGGTTAATGTATTTTTTTGGCATAGGCAAATGATAATACGGAGTATTAAAAAAGAGATAACATTTCAAAGTACGAAATGGTGAGTAAAATAATAAGTGTTTAATACTGAAACTACAAATTCTGAAAGACTTCTTTTTTGTAAACAACATTTAAAATACTGAATCTATTTTTTAACGGTAAGAAACCATTATTTAAAACAACATTAAACTAAAATACCTTTTATGCCAATTTTAATTGATCCAGCCCACGTATTAAAAGCCTGCTGAAGTACCCCATTTATGCCGAAGTACCCGTTATTTATTCCTACCCACCAAGTCCAACCTAACAAACCCTTACATAAGCTTCCTTTTCCACCTGCTTCTCCCAAATCGTCTGTACGCTCTTACCGTCGATCTCTTTCATGCATTCGTACACTTGAGCGACACATGAATTGAAGTTGCGTCTTCGTGAATTTTCACATGATGTATTGCATGCTTATCATTAAACTCTCTTTTAGAACCGTATTGAAATTGAATGCTATGGATCACACCTAAATTTTCAAAACCCTTTCCTTTTATACACCATGCCCGTTTTTTGAATTTGTTTCGTCAGCTCGTTACTGAACTACTGCCGAAGATCACTGTGGCCTAGGGGGATCCCAAGATCTAAGACGATATGATAATTTCTGTTCTAATTTGGGTATATACATTTCCTTTCCTATCTCGACTGTGATATTTTGTGCATGCCTATGTTTGGTGTGACTTGTTGCGTTTCTGTTCTGTGTACATATGTATACCTTTGATTTAATGTACGTTCTATATTATTGGAAAAAGTGAAGTTTAATTTCTTAAATTTATGATTTTCTATAATAACAAAACTGGATATATTGAAGTGCTCCAGAATTTGTATTTTACAGTAATCCGAGGTGGACTATAACCTAGATAAATAAGTAAGATTTGATTAAAATCTCAAACTGAACTGGAATTTCTATTTTAAAAACTAAATTTTATTTTATTTATAATAAATTATTATTTGAGATATTAAAGTTTAATTCCATTTATGCTGAACATTTTCCAAATACGGAGTATTACTGAAGCAATGATACTACTGGCGCTCACACAAAGTACTTATTTAACAGTACGTCTTGGTATTTTGATTTATACATTTAGAGTTTATATCTTTGGTGTGATGAATGATCAATGTCATTTTCAGGATTGAATCAAAATCATTTAATAGTGTATTAAATTTTGTTGTAAAACCCATGGTTAGATGCATACACTATCAGCATACCACTTGCTCATAAACAATTCCCTTCTCACAACATGCATTGGAAATTTGGACATGTCCAGACAATATATATGTTCTTTACATTGGAAATAAATACATTTAGACTTATATTGAAGTCTTGAAGATAACACTTAACATCCTTACATTACAAAAATTTGCAAAACTGGGACTTCAAAAATATGTATGGAGTATAATATACTAATATAGGGGTGGACCTGATCTCGTACAGGTCTTGGTTTCTGTCTTGGACACGAAATTTGGGCGCGTTCCGGCAATATATATGCTCTTTACACCCCAACAACTCTACTTAATTATACTACCTCTGTTCCTATTTTATCTTCCAACCCACTTTGGCACACAATTTAAGAAAAGTGGGTATTGTGTGGTGGAGAGTTGTGCAGAGGAGAGAGAAATGTGTAAGAAATGTTGTGAACCATAAATTCTTTACCAAAAAGGGAAAGTGGAAATTTAATTGGAATGGACGAAAAAGGAAAGTTGGAAGTTTATTAAGGAACGGAGGGAGTAGTTTTTTTGTCCAATCAAATTTAATACAAAGTTATAACATTGAAGTAGGTGGGGTTGTGTTTTACAATCCATCTAGGGATTTTGGGCTCTCCTGCAGCCGAACTGTGAAATTATTGCCAGTGTCCAACAATATATCTTCTCTTGCTAAACCTCTTCATACAAAAAATATGAAAATGTGTCAAATTAGGATCACGTTCATTTCTTGCATTTGTAAAGTATGCAAATATAAAACATGAATATGTTTATGATATTAGACAGTAGAAGATATACTAAAGGTGAATACATAAACTTGCTCATATGTTTATATGGGTTCATACATATATGATGTTGTTTTGTATGTCGTCTGTAAAGCACATCATTTTAAACCTAACTCTCTGAATGCAGACAAATGTCTATGTTCTCACTATTTTTGAATATAACTGTATATCAGTTTTCATAGCATCAGGTGCATAGCTATTTCACTTGTTACTATGTGATAGTAATCACAAAGATATAATTTCAACATACCTTTCCTATAGGACAATATTTTGTAGCCATGTATTGCTTGGTCTGAGTGTGAATTCTGCAGGAACAGCTTCTTCATTGTGGTTGTGTATCCTTGTAGGTTTTCTTGTGTGCCAGTAAGAAATGTGCTCAATATAAGCCAGCCTAAAAATTTTATTCTTTCCCTTTTAGCTGAAAATGATTTTGTTGAATTTTTTAATATATTTGAGATTGAGATTCAGTATTTATTTCAACTTCATTTAATGACCCGTTCTGTAAAAATAACTTACTTCATGCCAGGGCATCCCCATGTCTGTCCTTTGGAGTTGACCGAAACTTCATATGCCCTTGCAAGCAGTACCTTCAGTGCTTAAAACTTATTATTCGTCAACTTGTTTAATGAGATATTGTGTGTCTATTTCTTCTCAATGGTCCACTTTTATAGATGAAATAGCACATCATCTGGCTGCACGATTCAAAAATCTTGTAACATTGCAATAACCAAAATATAATACGGAGTAGTAAGAAATTGGGATTAGTACATGCATTTAATAAATTTACAGTTTGAATGGAAGTTTGATAGGACTGGTCAGTATGAAAGGTAATTTAATTGACTGCTCAACATTAATGGTGAACAATAAACACATCTTCAAATGTGTCTTGAATGGTCAAGGAGATATCATCAGTGATTTGGCGCATTTGAATGGTCAAGGAACACACAATGGTCAAGGAACACACGTGAACTGTCAGGCACCCATCAAACTACGCCCCACAATTCGGACAAAACTCATCGCATGACCCGACTCATATTTTGACCCGCATCTTTTGGCGGGAAACTTGTCTACTTTTCCACTTCAGTTTGTATATAGTAAGATTCACAGTCTTTCGAATTATTAATAGTCCGAGAATTAAGGGCTCACAATTAACGATTAGTGGCCCCGACCCACGTGGCCGTCTAGTTGTCATTCTATATATCACTGGGGTCCACGACCCATTCCTACTATCAAAATAGTATTGTTTAGATCAACATTAATTTTTTATATACACTAAGAATACCACGGGTGGTCCCCGCTACCGATGTGGGTCCCGCGTCTGATTAATAATCCTTTATTAATTTAAGACAATAATTTTATCTTTCTCATTTATCAAGGCTACTCTAGTCTTGATTTACCTTCGTTAACCATGTACTTGATGAAAAAAAAATTCTTTGGGTAAAATTTGGGTTCGGTGTTACAAGTTCACCCCCCCTTACAGGAATTTCGTCCCCGATATTAACGTCTGACGGTCTGAAACATGAGAAACATTTTTTTTTCTTCATTTTCTGAAGCTAACAATTTCGAACATAAAAATATTTATGGAATTTAAGGTTCAAATAAAAATTACCTTATGCCATAGTTATTCCTGAAAATAGCTTCCATCATTCATCGCCCTCACGAGCGAGTTCTCCACCGATTGGTGGATGGTAAAATGTTTGAAGCAATCCCTGTTGGGTTTGCAATCTCCGTGACTCCCATGTGGGCCCCCAATGCTCCTCCTCGTACACGCTGAGGACAAAGAACCTTTATGTGGCCCGTTTCTCCACAAAAGTAGCATCTAGATGGTTCTAGAAATATCCCGTAGTGTCTCCGCCTACAATTCTCACATTTGGGTGCTCCCGTGCCCCGAGTGCTTGAGCTTTGACTAACCCAGTCTTCGCTCCCTTTTGGAAATGGAACTAACTTGTTAGAGTCCCCCTTGCTCTCAAAGTCATACTTCCTCTCCCGCCGTGGAGGATGGTTGATCATTTGATCCCTTTCTTGTGTTTCCTTAGCACCCCTTGCTTGCCTTTCCTCCCAAAGCTCTTCCCCCTGGAGACCCTGGGTTACTACTTGACTGAAAGTCATGTTGAATTGATAGGTCGCCCTTTCGCGTACCTCCAAATTTAGTGCATTCCAAAAATGGTTCGCCATTCGATCCTCATTGGCAACATATTCAGGCAAGAACCTTGCCAAATGTCGTAACCTTTGTTCCAATTGTTTCACCGTAAACTCATTGCCCTGTTTGAGATTTGTATATTCCCTCCTCTTTCGATTTACTTCGAAAGAGGTATAAAATTGTTCATAGAATGCTTGCTCGAAGTTGTCCCACGTGACAACCCCGTCAAACATACCCTTGATGCCTTCCCACCAAGTAGAAGCTAAACCTTCCAACAATCTAGTGGCTACCCTTAACATCCGATCAGGGACCACTTGCATGTCATCGGCTGCATCATTTAACCTTTTTATCCACTCGGCTGCGTCCGAGATATCCCCTGTCCCATCAAACGGTTTGCACCCCAAGGCCCTAGCCTCTTTCAGGTACTTTGAGATCTTAATGAATGGTTCTTCACCATCAGAATCTCTGACCATCCTAACATGTGCCCTATGAGCACCCCGACCCCTCCTGCGAGAGGCCTCGTCTCTCACATGTCCCACCTGGGATCTTTGTCGTTGTCTTTCCCTTTCCCGTTGGTACCATCGGTACATCTCACTAACCTGGTCAAGAGGAATACTATGTATATCCTCCCCACCGTTTTCATCAAAAGAAGTATCATCTGACTCACTTTCAGGGTGATAAGTTGAGTCATCCTCCGAGTTCCACGACTCGAAGCCAGTCACAATGCAATCAGCCATCGCGGCTTGTGTTCGTTGGCCTTGGTGGCCCCTAACTCGCCTTTTTGGCGACCTTGATATTCCCCGATTGGCTTGCCCGGCTATCCCCGACGCGCGCCCTCTCGGATTCCCTTGAACCGCCTTATCGCTACCACCCATTCTTGAAAGAATATATTGGAATGAGTCTTTGGACTCGTTTGAATGTCAATTGACAGCAACGTACTTAAGACACAACTTGGCTCAAGTCACTGTCATACCAATTGTTAAGGGGCCCATCTTAACAATCAGAGACCTTGCAACTCGATAACCAAATATTCTTAAAGTACAAAATTTATGCTCATGGATTTTCATTGAAAGATTGTTTTGATAGAAACTTTGTAAAGAGGTTGACTACATAGTTTAGTAACCGTATGGCTCTGATACCACTTAATTGTCACGCCCAGACCGTGTCTGTGCCACGTAGACAACCGTCGTACAACCCAATAAGAATAACCGCAGTTCATCCTTACCAAATTGCACAAGACGTCCGATAGATACATATGCCAAAACCGATTAGTAAACATACATAACAACATCAACATACAATTAAACACATAGCGGAATATAAGTGTTTAATAAGAACCCACACGAGGGTAAAACAAGAGCTCGCAGGCTCCATTAATTTATAAGTCAAAAATAGTTTCACGAGCATTATTTAATTATTTAGAAATAGAACCAGAGGAAGCACGAACCACGTCTTCTCTCCATCGATCTCCCGAACAATGGGTGTAGGAAGTAAGCTCTAGCTTCAACCTGAAAGGGTGCTTCCCCCGAGGGATCAGTACTACAGAAAAGTACTGGTGAGGGCAAACTGTATGTAATATAACTAACGTTTCTCACATGGGACCCTCAACATATGGTGATAGTATACGTATAGGCATAACTCTTGGCTACCCCTTTTCAAAACATATCGTATACGTATATACATATGAGTAAAATATCCGGCCCGTGGGCCCATTTGTCTTTCAAATCATTTAGGCGTAACAACCTCGTTAAATTCACCCTTCCCATGTCCCACCCTCGAGTGAAGTCACCCGCAGGCTAACTCACCCGATAACAAAGATAATTATTTCGGGGGCCCTTCGGGCTCCCATATCATAGTCATGATTTAAATTAAATTCCTAGACCAAGGAAAATACCCTATCGGGAACCCATTCCCGATCACGCATGTTTAATCATCTAAAATCATTACTTGAGGTTCACCTACCTCGGGGACTATTCGTCCATACAATCATAGTTTACATTCCCGGGGCTAACCCCGCCTTGAGGAGTACGCATACACCCTTATCCTATGTGTAATTTGCTGGAGGTTAACACACCTCAAGGACTACACGGGCCCTTGTTACCTATATGCAATTTGATGGAGGTTAACACACCTCAAGGACTACACTTTCCCTTGTTACCTATGTGTAATTTGCTGGAGGTTAACACACCTCAAGGGCTACACGGGCCCTTGTTACCTATATGCAATTTGATGGAGGTTAACACACCTCAAGGACTGCATTTTCCCTTGTTACCTATGTGTAATTTGCTGGAGGTTAACACACCTCAAGGTCTACACAGGCCCGTGTTACGTATATGCAATTTGATGGAGGTTAACACACCTCAAGGACTGCATTTGCCCTTGTTACCTATGTGTAATTTGCTGGAGGTTAACACACCTCAAGGACTACACGGACCCTTGTTAACATTTGAGTATAAAGGACTCATCCTGGTCCTACAGAGTTTTACCTGACCTTACTCGGTCCCGAGTGTTCACCCATCATGTATAATCTACAACTTACCTCGCCCGGTCGTGGTCTATAATTTCTTTACTAACGACCAGTCCAAGTCTTAGCGTTTAAACCATATTTGAAGCCTTAGAAACCAACGTGGACGGGTCCCACTCGAACGGCCCACGTAAACTTACTCAAAAACTGCATATTGGGTGTAAAACCCAATACCCGGTCGGGTATTACCCATACCCGGTCGGGTAGGGTGAGCCAGTAGCCCCTGGGACTGTTTTTAACTAATACCCGGTCGGGTCTATACCCATACCCGGTCGGGTCTAGTGTGGCAGTGGCTCCTGGAACCATTTTTAACCAATACCCGGTCGGGTATTTACCAATACCCGGTCGGGTATTACTTTTGTCTTGGCGGTCAACGCCCGTTTGACCGCCCAAACGAAGTCCGATTAACGTGAAATTTTATACACATGTAATTCTTGACGTCCGTAATCCAAAAATGCCCTTTTGGGTCCTTGGAACATCATACATAATTAATTATCACATTTTTAATCATCAAGCTTACTCAACATGCTTTTCAACTATATTTTTCATATAATCATGGAATAACACATACTTGATTATCTTTAATCATTCCATAAAATATATTCTTGATTACTTTAAGTACTTCATACTTATTAATCGTTTATATATTTCGTTCTAGTTTATTCTTCATAACTAGATTTAATTTAATGACATGTATGATTAAGTACTTGAATCCTTCAAGAATACCATCTTGTATTACCTTAGTTAATGTCCAACTAAATCATTCATGATCATCCTTCATCAAAAATATTAATAATTCTTTTACTCATTAATCATGCCATTTTCACATAACTTATAATCATTATAGCTAATCACATGTTTAAACACATTTAAACATTTCTATACACATTCACATACTAGATTACTCTAGTTATCTCATACATAGTCCATGTATGCATTTTCATACATTTGACAATAATATATTCATGATTAATCCACAAATAAATCTCTTATTCATTAATCATGTAATATTTCCATAATTCATATTCACCATGACTAATCATGCATTTTAATCCATTTAATCATTTCTCAAATCATGATAAGGATTTTATTTAGGTAATCCCACGTTTGACCCAAGAGTTACAAGACACGTAGTCGTCCACTCACCTTGAAATGACGTTAGCGAGCTTTTATCCTCCTCATTTGAACTTCGGCGACCTTTTGGAATTTTCCGGCAAAAACTCCGGCGGCTCCGGCAACTTTTCTGGCCACTCCTAGATTCTTTGAGAAGTATAGAATACCTTGGTAAAATTCCTAACAAGGTTTCATAAATAAAAAGTGGTATAAACATCAAAACCTTCCGAGAAGGTATTTTCCGGCGAGCCGGTCTTACTCCGGTCATAACTCCGTTCATGGTTAAAACTATCCTTCCAAACCCTCATTCTACACCTCTAGGAGTGTAGAACAAGCTTATCGGTCTATCATATGATTTATAAAATCATATGAGATTAAATGAAGGAAGGAAAAATACTAATAAGACCATTACCTTAATTAATAAAGGTTTTCTTCACTTTCTCCACTATTTCTTCTTCCTTGGACTTCCTTCTTGATTGAGCGCACTCCTTGTCTATGGAGAAGGTATGTTGCTGAGCTTTTCTCTCTTTTTTGATTGCTTTGGCCGAGTGAGTGATTGAGGGGAGAGAGAGATGTCTTTTGACTCATTCCACCAATGATAATAAAGAAAATGGTCCACAATTGTCTCTCATTGATGCCTATCACTTCAAGCCAACTCCCTACATCATTCCTTCAATTATACAGCCATCCCCTTGTCTGGTTGATTGCATAATTACGTGGGGTGGCCCCCACTCATGTGGGAGGTCATCCCAATATGCTCCAAAGTGTACATTCCGCTCCGAAAGTTGTATTTTTCGTGCTGTTTTAATTAAATTTTATTTTATCGGGCCAAATAAAATATATATCATTCTTCTAATTAATATTGGCCCCTAGAATGAATATATATTATCCAACTTTAATTTCGTGGTTCTCGGAACATATTTCGGGCTGTTATCTGTTAAATAACTAATACTAGTAATGGGACTTCGTTTGCTCAATAGGCCAACTCTAGGGCTCAACATTAATTTACACCATCATATAAATATCATCTAGAGCAAGATGAATATAATATGTGGTCCCGGAAATATCGGTTGGTCCCCGCTCTCGGTGCGGGCCCAATGTGCATTTTACTGTTAAAATAACAGTAAAAATGGGAACGTGCTGTTTCGTAATTTCATTCGTCATTAAGGTATGAACAGATAAAATGTATTGACACTTTAATAAAATGTTACACTTCTTTTTATGTGGTCCAAAATGTATGAACAGATAAAATCTTATCTGTTTGTTCCCAAACCAAAATATCTTTAAGGTAGGGTCCTCCAAAAGTACCCTCCTTTAATGTACCAAATTAATCATATATATATCAACCAATTGTTTTGGATTCTTAAAATATTTATATTTCTTCTATCATTAATTCACAGTCTTTCGAATTATTAATAGTCAGAGAATTAAGGGCTCACAATTATCGATTAGTGGCCCCGACCCACGTGGCCGTTTAGTTGTCATTCTATATATCACTGGGGTCCACGACCCATTCCTACTATCAAAATAGTATTGTTTAGATCAACATTAATTTTTTTTATACACTAAGAATATCACGGGTGGTCCCCGCTCCCGATGTGGGTCCCGCGTCTGATTAATAATCCTTTATTAATTTAAGACAATAATTTTATCTTTCTCATTTATCAAGGCTACTCTAGTCTTGATTTACCTTCGTTAACCATGTACTTGATGGAAAAAAAAATTCTCTGGGTAAAATTCGGGTTCGGTGTTACAACCTGCTCCTCTTGCTGATCCCTTTGTGTGATTTTGGGAATGAGTATAGAGAGAGGAATAGCAGAACTATTGCTTCCATTTGAGGAGTTGGAAGAGGGCTCTGCTGCTTCCATGATTGCTAGTGGGGGAGAGGCCACTGCTTCTTCTTCTTGAATGATGGCAAGAGGGGAGTCCACTACTTCTACTTCTTGACCGGGATGAAAGGAGGAGGCTGCCTCTTCTAGTTCTGCTTGTAAGTTTCTGGTTGCCGTCCTTGGTCTCTTGGACTGGATTTCTTTGCAGCCAGATCTTGGTCTCTTGGCTAGCTTTGTCTTGATTCGGGTGAATTCAGTTTGTTGAGGCTCATGGGATTGGAGAGTAGCATCTTGCTTCTGTATTTCTGGAGCCCCTACCTTGGAAGTTTGATACAGAAATTTTCTCCAAGTTGTTTCTTCCTTGATGGACCCAACTATTTCTTTCTTCTTGAGCAGTCCCATTATCATAAATCCGTACCCTAGCAGTGGTAGAGTACCATCTTTTCCTCTTCCTGTGTGAGCTTTCTTTACGTACTTTAGAAGCTCGTTGTAGACGTACCTTGACCAGTTGAATGGGACCCCTGAGATGATTGCCGTCAGTGGCTTGGCTCTTTGTGCATTGACTTCATCCAGGGCTGTAGTTCTTGTGTCGACACACTTGTAGAGAATGTCCAGGAGGATGGCGTATTCTGGAACCATCAGCTTCTTTTTGACTTTTAATGTGTTAAGGTGTTGAGCCCTTTGGATGAAAACCTTTTCTTTGAAGTTCTCTTCATTCAAGTTGAGGTCCTCTACAGTTGGAGCCTCATCTCCAGGTGGGGAGAGCAGTTCCCTGATGTCTTCTTCCGTTATCTCTACCTCAAACCCTATTACAACGGATTTGAGAGTCTCAGGAGTGGAGTTGATGTAGAACTCTGCTACTACCTCGGGGTAGAAGCAAGAGTATGGATAGGTTGCCATTATCATTAGTCCCGTGGTCTCAAGCTTTCTTAATAGTTCTCTCATGAGGTCATGGTTCTTAGCTTTTTCGAGAATTTTGGGAGTGTTTAGTATGGAGCCTGTGAAGATGGATTTGGAAATTTGGACAAGGGAGGCCATTTTGGGTGTATATGGAGAATGGAATGGTTTGCGGTGGTTGTGTGTAGGAGAGTTTTTGAGAATGCGAAGAGAGAATTTGAGAGCTTAGAATAGGTAGAAAGAGATTGCAAAGTGAAAAGTGTGAAGGAGAATGTACGGAGGGAGTATTTATAGGCTATCGGGAACTAGCCGTTGGAATATAGCCGTTGGAGAATACGACTGGCCTTTTCAGCATTAACTGTGTTCACACTGGTAGCAGGGAGCTCAATTTTGGGTAAAATTTTGATGGTTTCTGAGAACAAGAGTTGGCTTTTTGGAATCCTTGATATTAGGGGATCAAGATGATGTATGTCACTTGTTGAGATTCCATGTACATTTGTCAGAAATTGAGCCAACTGCTGGCCTGAAGCAGTGCCCTGCTCCTGAGGCAGTCACCTGCTGGCAGTCACCTGCGAATTTTTTGAACCAGTGTTTTTACCTCCATTTGCCTTCCTTCTCTTTCTAGTCCTTTTCCTCCTTTTTGAGAAAGTATATATATATATATGCAATTCCTTCCATTATACAAGTAGCAGTGGGCTAGTAGCCAGTCGTCTGCTGAGTCCAATGCTTGCTAGGATGCAGTCAACTACTGAGCCAATTTTGTGAATTTTGACTCCTTTTGATCTTGAAATCCTGATAGTGACTTACTTGGACCTTGATGCTTCATTCCTTTGATGTTTTGAGTAGCTTTCCATTAGCAGGTGGCTACTCCTGAGTACTTCACAGAAATTCCCCCTCAGCAGGTGGCTAGGAATTCCCCTTTAATTTTGGAATCAAATTTCCCTTGAATAGATGCAGGATTATTCCTTCACTTGATCTAGATAATCTAACATTCCAAGCTCTTGCCTTATTTGGTTGAATCTAGCTTCATTCAATGGCTTGGTGAAGATATCAGCCAACTGCTTTTCCGTGGGGATGTACTCAAGCTTGATGGTTTTCTTCTCAACATGCTCTCTGATAAAGTGATGTCTGATCTCAATATGCTTGGTTCTTGAATGAAATACCGGATTATGAGTGATAGCAATAGCACTAGTGTTATCACACAGTATGCTAATCTCCTTTGTTTCTTCTCCATAATCCCTCAATTGTTGTTTCATCCATAGTATTTGTGCACAGCAGCTGCCTGCAGCTATGTAATCAGCTTCAGCAGTGCTAGTAGCAATTGAGTTTTGTTTCTTGCTGAACCAAGAGACAAGTCTTCCACTAAATAATTGACAAGTACCTGAAGTGCTTTTTCTATCAATTTTGCATCCGGCAAAGTCTGAGTCTGAGTAGCTATAGAGTTCAAAACCTCCATTTGTTGGATACCATAATCCAAAGTTAGGATTACCTTTTAGATACCTCAAAATCTTCTTTGCAGCTAGAAGATGGCTGTCCTTAGGTTTTGATTGAAATCTTGCACATACACCAACTGAGTAGGATATGTCTGGCCTACTAGTGGTGAGATATAATAAGGAACCAATCAAACCTCTATAAAGTGTAGGATCAACATCCTTGCCATCTTCATCTTGACTTAGACCTTGTGATGTGTTCATGGGTATCTTGACTGTAAACTTGTTCTCAACTTTGAACTTTTTCATGAGATCTCTTGTATATTTGGCTTGGTTGATGAAGATACCTTGAGGAGTCTGCTTCACTTGTAGTCCCAGAAAATAGTTCAACTCTCCCATCATGCTCATTTCAAATTTGTTTTGCATGAGAGTTGAAATTTTTTCACATAGTGCTTGATTTGAGCTACCAAAAACTATGTCATCAACATAGATTTGAACAAGCAGTATGTGGGGACCTTCTTCTATTTTAAATAAAGTCTTGTCTACTTTTCCCTTAGTGAATCCATTATTCACTAAGTATTCAGAGAGAGTGTCATACCATGCTCTTGGGGCTTGCTTGAGTCCATAAAGAGCCTTGTGTAATTTGTAGACTTGATCCTTCTCTCTATTGATTTCAAAACCAGGAGGTTGCTCCACATAGACCTCCTCTTCTAGTAGACCATTTAGGAAGGCACTTTTCACATCCATTTGATAGACTGTGAATTGCTTATGAGCAGCATGAGCCAAGAAGATTCTTATAGCTTCCAATCTGGCAACAGGAGCAAAGGTTTCATCAAAATCGATACCTTCTTCCTGGCAGTAGCCTTTGGCTACCAATCTTGCCTTATTCTTGACTATGGTGCCTTCCTCATCCATTTTGTTTCTGAATACCATTTAGTTCCTATCACATGTTGATGATAGGGTCTAGGTACAAGCTCCCATACATTGTTTCTCTCAAACTGATTGAGTTCCTCTTGCATGGCTTGTATCCAGTCTGAGTCAAGTAAGGCTTCTTCAATTTTCTTGGGTTCAATCTGGGAGATGAAGCATGAGAATTGTGCTTCTCTCTGAATTGCTGATCTGGTACGAACCCCTGTATTGATGTCTCCAATTACTTGGGGAGGAGGATGTATATTCATCCATCTGATGTCAGATGTTTTTGTTTTGGTTAGAATTTGAGTATCATCCTCCCATTCTTCTTCTTCTTCACTATCCTCTGGTAGAATAGGATGGTTAGGAATGTCATGAGTGCCTGGAAGGTTGTCTTTTGGTGAGTCACCTACTGGCAGTGGGCTGACTGTTGAGTAAACTGCTGGCAGTGGGCTGCCATTTGAGTCAACTACTGGCAGTGGGCTGCCGTTTGAGTCAACTGCCTTTCTATCTTTTTGAACACTATTATTTGGAAGGCAGCTTGGAGCCTTTCCAGTGTCCCTTGATTTG